TAGGCTATTGTTTATATTAGCAGACTGTGCTCTAGGCTAGTGTTTTTAACAGCAGATGGCGCTCTAGACTAGTTTATAACAGCAGATGGTGCTTTAGGCTAGTGTTTATAACAGCAGACGGTGCTCTAGACTAGTTTATAACAGCAGACGGTGCTCTGGACTAGTTTATAACAGCAGACAGTGCTCTAGGCTATTGTTTACATTAGCAGACGGTGCTCTAGGCGAGTGTTTTTAACAGCAGATGGCGCTCTAGACTAGTTTATAACAGCAGACGGTGCTCTAGACTAGTTTATAACAGCAGACGGTTCTCTAGACTAGTTTATAAAAGCACACGGTGCTCTAGACTAGTTTATAACAGCAGACGGTGCTCTAGGCTATTGTTTATATTAGCAGACGGTGCTCTAGACTAGTTTATAACAGCAGACGGTGCTCTAGGCTATTGTTTATATTAGCAGACGGTGCTCTAGGCTAGTGTTTTTACAGCAGATGGCGCTCTAGACTAGTTTATAACAGTAGACGGTGCTCTAGACTACTTTATAACAGCAGACGGTGCTCTAGACTAGTTTATAACAGCAGACGGTGCTCTAGGCTATTGTTTATATTAGCAGACGGTGCTCTAGGCTAGTGTTTTTAACAGCAGATGGTGCTCTAGACTAGTTTATAACAGCAGACGGTGCTCTAGACTAGTTTATAACAGCAGACGGTGCTCTAGGCTATTGTTTATATTAGCAGACAGTGCTCTAGGCTAGTGTTTTTAACAGCAGATGGCGCTCTAGACTAGTTTATAACAGCAGATGGTGCTTTAGGCTGGTGTTTTTAACAGCAGATGGCGCTCTAGACTAGTTTATAACAGCAGACGGTGCTCTAGACTAGTTTATAACAGCAGACGGTTCTCTAGACTAGTTTATAACAGCACACGGTGCTCTAGACTAGTTTATAACAGCAGACGGTGCTCTAGGCTATTGTTTATATTAGCAGACGGTGCTCTAGACTAGTTTATAACAGCAGACGGTGCTCTAGGCTATTGTTTATATTAGCAGACGGTGCTCTAGGCTAGTGTTTTTACAGCAGATGGCGCTCTAGACTAGTTTATAACAGTAGACGGTGCTCTAGACTACTTTATAACAGCAGACGGTGCTCTAGACTAGTTTATAACAGCAGACGGTGCTCTAGGCTATTGTTTATATTAGCAGACGGTGCTCTAGGCTAGTGTTTTTAACAGCAGATGGTGCTCTAGACTAGTTTATAACAGCAGACGGTGCTCTAGACTAGTTTATAACAGCAGACGGTGCTCTAGGCTATTGTTTATATTAGCAGACAGTGCTCTAGGCTAGTGTTTTTAACAGCAGATGGCGCTCTAGACTAGTTTATAACAGCAGATGGTGCTTTAGGCTGGTGTTTTTAACAGCAGATGGCGCTCTAGACTAGTTTATAACAGCAGACGGTGCTCTAGACTAGTTTATAACAGCAGACGGTTCTCTAGACTAGTTTATAACAGCACACGGTGCTCTAGACTAGTTTATAACAGCAGACGGTGCTCTAGGCTATTGTTTATATTAGCAGACGGTGCTCTAGACTAGTTTATAACAGCAGACGGTGCTCTAGGCTATTGTTTATATTAGCAGACGGTGCTCTAGGCTAGTGTTTTTACAGCAGATGGCGCTCTAGACTAGTTTATAACAGTAGACGGTGCTCTAGACTACTTTATAACAGCAGACGGTGCTCTAGACTAGTTTATAACAGCAGACGGTGCTCTAGGCTATTGTTTATATTAGCAGACGGTGCTCTAGGCTAGTGTTTTTAACAGCAGATGGTGCTCTAGACTAGTTTATAACAGCAGACGGTGCTCTAGACTAGTTTATAACAGCAGACGGTGCTCTAGGCTATTGTTTATATTAGCAGACAGTGCTCTAGGCTAGTGTTTTTAACAGCAGATGGCGCTCTAGACTAGTTTATAACAGCAGATGGTGCTTTAGGCTGGTGTTTATAACAGCAGATGGTGCTCTAGACTAGTGTTTATAACAGCAGATAGCGCTCTAAACCCATTTATCAATGCTATCATTTGCAATCTAGACACATTATGAAGCAGCAAAAGCACTGGAGTGAACTAATAAACTGTCGTGTTTTGATGGAAACCTCTACACTCTAATAAATCTGATTGAATGATTGAGTTCAGTTACTTTCAAAATCATCTAAATTAACAGAAAAATATTAGGTTAATTAAGTTATCTTGCAAAACATCACAATATAAATTGCAGAGAGTCAAATTCCGGCTTTTAGAAGGGGAATTTTACAAGAATGATGTCTTTAGAAATTATTTATCAAGAACCTTTAGAATCACAATCTAAAACCAAAACAGTGTAATATTTATAATTTAGTTAGTTAGTTAGTTAGTTAGTTAGCTTTATTTATTCTCATAGGAAGATTTCATTTGCAGCAAACACCCACAGAGACATTTCACAATTTACATTAGGAATTTACATAAATAGATCATTTTTAAAAGCAAGACACCACTAACCTAAACAAATGTTTAGTCTATTGACCATTAACTACCACTAGGAGAGGATGAATTTAAAAAATCTAATAGCTTGAGGGATAAATGATCATTTCAAACTATTTATTACACATCTGGGAGCACAATATCGTCACCCTGATAATAGTAATTTGAAGGTAATAACAATAATTATTATAATACCCTTTGTTTATTAGCGCCTTTCACAGCACTCAAGGACAACTAGGCCCGTCACTATATCTATTTTTGTTGTATGATATATTGCACCAAAATATATTGCAATCAAGGATATTATTGTCATTTTAAGACCATTATATGCCACTCATTATATAATTCCAGAATGACAATATAATATCATCACAATGCACACTCTTGCACAGAACACATCATATTTTATTTTTAGGAATATTTCATTTTAATTATAGTCATTTCAATATTTAGGCAGTGAATGTGAAAATGCATATCCTTAATTAATTTATAATACATTTTAACAAAAGAAAGTGCAAGATTCTGCTACCAGATCTATTTTCAGCTGTCAGACACCCACATGAAAATATACTAAAGTAATTTATGGTAAATACTACAGTGTTTTTAAATATAGAGATGTTGAACAATCAGCTAAAATGTGGCTACACTCTCAGAAATAAAGGTACATGAGCTGTCACTGGGGTGGTACCTTTTCAAAAGGTACAAATTCGTACCTAAAAGGTCCATATTAATACCTCAAGGGTACATATTAGTACCCAAGTGTTCCTCTTAAAACTTTTAGGTACTAATATATATTTTTGAGGTACCAATATGAGCCCTTTAAGTATAAAAAGGTACCACCTAGGCATGGGACGATAACCGTTTTTAAGGTATATTATGGTTTGGAAAAGTCAAGGTTTTAAAACTATCAACATTTTCTGCAATACCTTTCCTAAGGTATGTGTACGATTTTTTTTATCTACTTTTTCTACGTTTTAGGACAACAGTATCTCCTGCAGAAACAATATCCAAAGAAGACATTTTAAATGGTCACCTTTTTCATTTATTGGAAATAAATGAATACAGCAAAAGTCAATAATTCATTTGAATTATGTAGCCTGACATGTTGACTGCTCCAAAATATTTTAAATGTTTCTTAAAATAAAATGCATTGTGTTTAAAAGGGAAAAAATGTTTTAGTTTTTCTCCCCAGGCGTATATGTTTGAGCAGTGATCACAATACCGCAAAACCGTGATACTTATATCCAAGGTTATCATCGTCAGAATCTTACACCGGCCCATGCCTAACACCACCCCAGTGACAGCTCGCGTACCTTTATTCTTAAGAATGTAGTATTGGTTTTATGTATGGGTGATATCAAAAAATACTGAGGTCATGTCCATGTGTTGTGTGAGAAGTCTATATATTGATTATAGTGCAAGGTAAAGAGTAACAGAGGCTGCAATATCTGCTACTGTACCAGATCTATTTTCACTCACCAGGCACCCACATGAAAATATACTACAGTCATTTATAGTAAAAACAACAGTGTTTTTAACAACACTGACCACCAATAGAGATGGAGATGTTGCACAATCAGCTAAAATGTAGCTAGTATTAGTTTTCATGTATGGGCGATATATATTGCATCACCAAAAAGGATTGATAAACAGCACACATGTGTATGATAAAGTATGCCTCTCATCGTTGACAATTATGTGCGTCTTATTTACCACTCTTTCTTCGTATGAGTTGTTTAGTAGTTTAAATAAAGTTCAATGTTGTTTATTTCCACTACAGCAGGCTTATGATATACATTACAGCATGATATTTGATTATAGCACGCTTATAATGACAGGCAAGTGTGCATTTGTAATGTGTATTTGTTTGTTAATCGTGTTTACGGAGTGTTTTGTCTTTGGACTAAAGCAAAGGTCAGTCATTGTTTAATCTGCAGCGCCACCTGCAGGTCAACACAACTCACAACAGTCTCAATCAGCTCCTAAAACATCCAAAACAGCCTCATTTTGAACAGTAATCAGCCTATTTTACTCAAAATCAGACATTAAATATTAAAAACAGGACATAATCGCCTCTTTATGAACAAAACACTCTCCATAAACACGATGAACAAACAAATACACATTTAAACATTACAAATACACACTTGCCTGTCATTATAAGCTTGCTATAATCAAATATCATGCTATAATGAATATTATAAGCCTGCTGTAGTGGAAATAAATAACATTAAATAACATTAAACGTGATTTAAACTACTAAACAATCCGAAGTCGTCAGTAACGTTATTTTAACTGGTTTTTGTTGTGTAACGTTAAACACTTCTTGTATTTCTGACCGCAAATATTCTCTCTATAACGTTTACCTGTGACACAGACGATAGATTAATAATGTCGTATACTGTTTTTGTAAACATTTCCGTATATTATTATGATGACTGTGTGCTTTGTTGACAGAAACACTGGTGTGTTTGTGTGAATTCAGCTCTTCTTAACGCACCTGCTTCTCTGTTGATGTCGACTCCACGCCCAGTAAAGCGTAGAGATCCATCTCTAAGAGCTCTTTTGTTGTCGCCATGATTGAATATCACGAAATAAAAGAATAAATGTGTGTAAAATATATCCTTGAGTTCCTCAGCTGCAGTTTGAAGACTTCTTCTGCGCGATTTACAGTGTTTGGACATGTGACTGGAGGAGAAGCACAGCGCCCCTGTAGGCAAGGAGAAACAAAGAAAGATTTAATAAAGAATGCTAAAATAAAATAAAATAAAATAAAATAAAATAAAATAAAATAAATAATTTGAAGCTAAGCACCAATTAACACCAGCAGGAATTAAAAATAAAATAAAATACAATAAAAAATAGTTTCAAATTAAATTATTTAAATTTAAAAAGTGAAAAGTAAAAAGTATGAAGTATAAAGTAAAATTTAATTTAATTTAATTTAATTTAATTTAATTTAATTTAATTTGATTTGATTTTAAAAAGAGCTAAGCACCCGCACAGTCGAAAAAGAATGAAAAATGAAATAATCAAACAAAAGTAAAATAAAAAAATAAAATAGTAAAATAAAATAAAATAAAATAAAATAAAATAAAATAATTTGAATCTAAGCACCCTCACAATTTGGGAGGAATTAACAATAAAATAAAATAATATAAAAAAATAGTTTCAAATTAAATTAATTAAATTTAAGAAGTGAAAAGTAAAAAGCATGAAGTATAAAGTAAAATTTAATTTAATTTAATTTAATTTAATTTAATTTAATTTGATTTAATTTAATTTAATTTAATTTAATTTAATTTAATTTAATTTAATTTAATTTAATTTAATTTGATTTTAAAAAGAGCTAAGCACCCTCACAGTCGAAAAAGAATGAAAAATGAAATAATCAAACAAAATTAAAATAAAAAAATAAAATAGTAAAATAAAATAAAATAAAATAAAATAAAATAAAATAAAATAAAATAAAATAAAAAATAAAATAATAAATAAATAAAATTATTTAATTTAATTTAATTTGAGTTAAATTTATCAGATTAAAATTAATCAGAGTTTGGGAGGATTGAACAATAAAATAAAATAAAATAAAATAAAATAAAATAAAATAAAATAAAATAAAATAAAATAAAATAAAATAAAAAATTGTTAGAAATTAAATTAAATTAAATTTAAAAAAGTAAAAGTAAAATTTAATTTAATTTAATTTAATTTAATTTAATTTAATTTGATTTGATTTAATTTAATTTAATTTAATTTAATTTAATTTAATTTAATTTAATTTAATTTAATTTAATTTAATTTAATTTAATTTAATTTAATTTAATTTAATTTGGAGCTAAGCACCCTCACAGTCAGGGAGCAACGAACAATAAAAAAAAGAAAGAAAGAAAGAAAGAAAGAAAGAAAGAAAGAAAGAAAGAAAGAAAGAAAGAAAGAAAGAAAGAAAGATAGAAAGAAAGAAAGAAAGAAAGAAAGAAAGAAAGAAAGAAAGAAAGAAAAGAAAAGAAAAGAAAAAAGAAAAGAAAAATAGTTTCAAATTAAATAAAATGTAATTTAATTTAATTTACTTTAATTTAGAGCTAAGCACCCTCACATAAGAGGAATGAACAATGAAATAATAAAACAAATCAAAATAAAACAATGAAATCTCAAGGATTGTGTTGTTTTAGTTAATTTTAATTAAGTTTGAACAAGTTAAAAAAAATTATGTTCTCCCCGTGATGACATGGGTTTCCTCAGGGCGTAGTAGTGTACGTGTGTGAATGAGTGTGTGTGGATGTTTTCCAGTGATGGGTTGCAGCTGGAAATGTATCCGCTGCATAAAACATTTGCTGGATGAGATAGCGGTTCATTTCGATGTGGCGACCCCAGATAAATATGGGACTAAGCTTAATATGAATGAATGAATTTTATTTAGCTTAATTTAATTGGTGGAAAGCACCCTCACAGCAACAAACAATAAAGGGAAAAAAAAAGATAAATTATTTAAAATTTATTTTAATTTAATTATATTAATTAAATACAATTTAAAAAGGAGTCAAGGAACGAAGAATAAATTTAATACAATAATAAAACTTAAAAAAATTATTTTAAAAAAATGCTGCTGAGCTGTCTCTGATATCAGAGTTTTCTCAGAATGGAGAATTTTCTCTTTGACGCCTGTTTCTCTGTACAGGAACTGCTGAGGTGTCTCATTTTCCCTCTTCTTTGTACACAATAATTCTTGGAATGACTCTGTACTGCTTTTGTCTCCTAGGTGTGACTGAAAAAACATTTTGAGTTCCTCAATCCTCATGTCTTCCTTATTCATCAGCTTCTTAAAAGCGTCTCAGAAGGTTCCTGGTTTATTTGAAAAATAATTAATTTCGCGTCTCTATAATTCTGTTTAATTCCAACTTCGATTAGTCCACAGACATTAGTGTATGTAGTACCTGATGTGTTACCGACAATTTGTCCTCCATGAAGTTTGAATTTGTGCTGAATGCATACCTGTCAACATTGGGATGTGAAAATAAGGGAAATGCCCACCATAATAAGGGATTCCCCCGACCCCCTTTAAAAAATCCCGAAATTACTAAATATGCTCATTTGGAGCTGGTTCGTTGGAAATAAACAGTTAAATGGTCAGTAATATATTTTATTATTATTTACAAAAACAATATTATACATTAGAAGCAAATAAATTAGCAAACAGTTCAGCTTATTAAAATTAATTAATATTATTATAATGAAAAAGAATCAAATCTTATGAGCCGTTTCTTCACCACATTCTGATTAAAGAGCAAGATTTTTTTTTGTTTGATTACATTAAATAACAAAGGTGTCACTTTAAAAATGCACACATCTAACGTTATAATGAAAGCATGCGACTGCTTTGCTAACTGTTTATGCTCATTTAGTACGAAATTAGTTGTGTTTGAAAAAAAAAAAAAACACCAAGATCGACATCTTAAGATATTATTATTAATTATGTGTGTATGTCTGTTTAAATACGCAACCAAAACCCAGACTTTTGCTCAGCTTCAAATCACGTGTACAGAATCTGTGTGGGAAACAGCGTCTATTTATCACTTCGGAGCATGTCAGCTGACAGTCATGTGTTTTGAGGATTGCATATGAAGGGGAGACAGCACCTGTAATGAAAACGAAGGGAATCGCGTCGTTTTTATGTTTATTTCAAAGTGTTTTCGTGCCTAAACAAAATAAAAGCACAGAATAGACTCGCAGTTAAGAGCAAGGGGTGTCCCCTGGTGGTTCGGCGGTATGGGTTGCGTATATGGAGGCTTGAGTCTTTAATGTTTATTTGCCACATTTCAGAAAAACACTGAAAGGGAAATACGGGAAAATCCCCTTACGGGATCATAGCGGGATAGAACTGTAAAATACAGGAGAATCCCAAGAAAACAGGAGGGTTGACAGGTATGTGAATGAAGAAAACGTCTCTAAATAAAATTACTTCCTATGTCATCGACTGTGTATTTTTCTCAAGGCGATTGTTAGGCTGTGTGCCGTCAATTTTGGTTCTTGGTCAGTTCTTTATAAATTAGGTGTACTGTCTTCAGGTTAGTGTCTGAGTTTGTATTTGGTACTCTAATTCTCACAGTCACTGGATCGACTTTCCATAGACATAATTTAAGCTTCCAGAATCGCAAAGTCTACTAAAGGAGGTCGAGCCTTTTCATTTATGGTTCCTAACATCTGGAATAGCCTCACTGATAATGTTAGAGGCTCAGACAACACTCTCAGTTCAAAACTTAAAGGGTCACGAAACACCAAAACACATGTGTTGAGCTGTTGACAGTCGTGTATGTGTCCCACACTGCTAAAAACACTATTAGGACACCTATATTTCACTAAAAAGTACAAATTGGTTGTTTTTGCATTATTTCAAGCAAATTCGTACTTCCGGTTTGAAATGAATTTTTGAAGCTGCGTGCAGACTGGGCGTCTGTGCCAGAGTGTGTCTTATTATGTCTTGCAGTGTGCAGCATTAATGCATGAGTAAGGCTTGGTTCAAACCAATCAGCGCGCTCTATTGTGCAACTTCATTAATATTCATTACTGTCACAGTGTTTAGACGACAGAGACGCCACATTGTGTTGGCAAAACAAGCGTGAAGTGTTGCTTTTATAGTTTGCTGCAGTGAAGTTTCGTTTTCCTTTTCTCTCTGTGAGAGCGCAGCTGGAGTCACGTGTGGATTAACAGTGTACGCGACGCTCGACAACAATAACTTACGTGTCTAAGGAGGATTATTGTTTACCTGAGAGCTGTTCTCATCTGCAAACGCTGAGATCCGGATTCTCTTGTAGTCTCCTCTAAATAAAGACGCGGCTCTAGTTGCTGGTGATTGTCCTGTCTCTACAGATTTGGTAAGTGAGCGACCAGTGCTCTTTGTTTATTCAGTTTGTTCGTATGAAACTAAGTTAACCATTGCAGCGAGTGTAAACATGTTAGCACCACAACCAAACTTTAACCTCGTAAAGAGTTTTCACCGCATTTTGTGACTGGAATAACACACGCGGCTTTCTGACGCTACCTGCCGTGTGCATCTAAGTTTCCGGGAAATATTGAGGGTTTTTTTTCTCTCATTCGCCGTGCGGTATCAAACATTGCATAAAAAATACACGCTTACAGCCGTTCCTCGAATCAAATCAAAAATCGCAAGGGACATGAATGAATTCCCTGAATGAAAGAGCCAAACTGCAGTTAAAGTCCACCATTTATTAATTTGACTACAGATGTCCATGTAAACACAGTCACTTTCTACCCTGTGTGTGTGTGTGTGTTTTTGACTCTGAAACTCAGCGCGCCCAAATAGACACTCCCACACCACGCCTCTTTTCTTCCTCCGACACTCCCCCCTAAACAGAGCTGGACACGCCCACTTTTCTGACTTTTTCCAAAGTAGAGGTGTGAAAACACCCTGCTGAAACGACGGGGTTTCATGGCCCTTTAACAGAGTGCCTCTGACCCCGCACTGCCAGAGCACCCCCGGATGTCAAAAGAGACATGATCACATGCCTTCTCCAAGCCCATTAAAAGCATGTGGACTGGCTGGCCATATTACCATGAACCCTCAAGCACCTCGGTAAAGGTATAGAGCTGCTCCAG